TGATGATGATGATGATGATGATGATGATGATGATGCTGATGATGTCTATGGGTCCCCCTTTGATGCTTACATGTAATTTGGCGAGCTATTTCATGCTGACCAAGTAGTTGGCCCCAAGGTTGAGCCTCTCTTCTAATCTTTAATCCTAATTTTAAAATCAACATGGCCGCTAACTTAAATAGCACAAACAAATTTTAAAGATTAGTTTTTGTAAGCTGCTCAATTTTACAAAGCAGCAAAGCCGATTTTAATCAATGAAAAGGGCCTCGTCTCCTTTACCGTTTCCCAATCCAAGTTCCTCTTCCCCACCGTCCACAATATCAGTCGGTGCACGGCTGTATGTAAAGAAGGAAGTAGACGGTATATCGCAATTCTACAAGGCAGAAGTCTTGGGAGTTCGCCAAGCTACTGCTAAAAAGCCACTTCAATATTACGTTCATTATGATGATTTTAATAAACGGCTCGATGAATGGGTAGATGTTTCTCGCATTGATATCACAACAGATGTTTCTCTTACAAAACACCCATCGACAAGTTATGAATCAGTAGGGTCAATGGCACCATCCACACATGCCGATGAGAGCGTTGCTGACTACAGGACTGCAATGGAAGGGCTCCGTCACAGGGGATCAATGACGACAAGAAGTGAAGAGCTATCTCGTATGAAAAACATTGATATGATTTTTTTTGGCAAATACAAAGTCTCCACGTGGTATTTTTCGCCCTATCCTTTTGAGCTAATCAGGCCCAGTGTTTCGGATGATTCTTCATCGCCAGTCATTTTATACGTATGCGAATGCTGTCTTGCTCCCTTTTATGATATTACTGCTTTGACAAGGCATAGGAACTCGGAAGCGCCTGGATTTTGTCCAGTACTCGTTCCTCCAGGAAGAGAAATCTATCGATCATCGCCCATGTCGTCAGAAGCTTCGTCAATATATGCTTTGGGTCTTTTTGAGGTTGACGGGAGACGACAGAAAACTTACTGTCGTAATTTGTCTCTTCTTGCCAAATTATTTCTTGATCACAAGACACTGTATTATGATGTGGATCCATTTCTTTTTTACATCCTTGTTGCCTATGATGCTCATGGAGCACATCTTGTTGGCTACTTTTCCAAGGAAAAAATCTCGCCCGATAATTATAATGTCGCTTGTATTCTTACCCTTCCGCAGCATCAAAGAAAGGGATATGGAAAGGCATTGATTGCTCTCTCCTATGAATTATCCAAGCGAGAGGGTCGAGCTGGATCGCCTGAAAAACCGCTTTCCGATCTGGGCCTTCTTTCATATCGATCATACTGGGCCGAAACTATCTTAAGGATCCTAATCCCATTAGCATCGAACAATAGCCGTATTATTATGGCTCCGCACTCTGAATTTTATTCAGATGCTCTTCATCCTCGAATTTCTCTACAGGCTCTCTCCTCAATGACCAGTATCACATGCGAAGATATTTTGCATACCCTTCAGGCATTGGATATTCTCAAATATTATAAGGGCGCTCATACAATTCTTCTTTCATCGAGAATCATCGCTGAACATGAAAAGAATATCATGAAGCCATCTATTTTCATCGATCCTGCTCAACTTGACTGGAATTGCCCTCCCCCGATGTAGAGAATTTTCATACCGTTTGTTCGCATTGGATTTATATGCATGTATTTCAGTAGTTCCACATAATCTTAGATCTTACTGGTAACATCTCGCTTTATCTTATCTTTATCTTTACCCGTACCGTTATATTTTATCGTATAAATTTAGCGATTCTGGTGACACAATATAATTGGAAATAAAAGGCTAACTAGCCGTGAAGAGTGTTCCTCTTGCCGCTTGATCGCGCTCTATCGCTTGGAATAGGGCTTTAAAGTTTCCTTCACCAAATCCTTTGTGGCCATGGCGCTCAATAACCTCAATAAACATTGTGGGCTTATCTTGTAAAGGGCATGTGAGAATTTGAAGCAGATATCCATTCTCATCATAATCTAGCAAAATATGCAGCTTCTCGAGGACATCGATGTCTTCTTTAATTTCAGGATGCTTGCCACTCTCGCAACCGCTTGCAAGAACTTTGCGCAGATGATCATAATATGTTTTTGGAGGACATTTTAAAAACTCCACACCCCTTGCATGCAAGCTAGTAACCGTTGAAATGATATCTGACGTAAGTAAGGCAATGTGCTGGATCCCTTCTCCCCCATAAAAGTCCATGAATTCTTGAATTTGTGAACGGCCTACAATGGTCACTGGCTCGGTAGCCAAAATTTTAATAGTCTCTGAAGCTGATGGCGTGTGGTCTGCCATTACAATAGATCTTAAGGCGGTAATTTCTGAATGAATTTGAGTTTCATCAAAAGAAGCGAATTTAGAAAGCCCCAAAAGCTTCTCATATCTACTGGTGAAGGAAGAAAAATACTTTGTAGCCATAGCCTTAGCCATACCACAAGGATGGCATCCAACCAAATGATCAATTTTATCATAGCAGACTGGGGGGCTAGTAGGGGTATATAAAAAGATTGAAACTTTACAGAATGGCGAGAAGCGGATCCACCCTTTTAGGCGGAAAATAGTTTGGCAAAAATGTCCCACAATATTTGTGATTTTCAACGAACGTTATGGTGGTATCTGCAAACTAAAGTTAAGCTGATTCCAAAAGAAAGAAACCTACTGCCTTAATGCGCGCAATAACTACACTTCCAGAAGCATCCGAAATGACTTCTGGATGTTGGACAATCTCGGCATTTCCATATTCTTGAGCTCGCTATCGATTATAAAGAAATCCTACCTTAAAGGCTGAAACACAATCAGAAACAGAGATAGCAAAATCTTTCACACCATCTCCATGTCT